AATTCCCCAGCCAGCAAAGCTCCCAGCAAATTCTGGGAGTTGAAGTCCACACATCTTAAAGCTGCCAAGGTTGAGAAACTCTGCTCAAGAGGATTGTCTGATGCAGCTGAGCGTATGAATCCTGTTATTTCAGCAGAATTGCCCCCAAATTGTCCCTTCTGAATCACGTCAGTTGGTTTTATCTTGCAATTACCTTGATTCTTTCAGGTATAATAGAGAAATTTCATTTGAATTTAACCAAAGAAGAAATTCAGCAGCTCATAACAAAATATGATTTTAAGAGCGTGGGCAAGTTTGCGTACTGTGATTTCCTTCAAAGCTGCGTGCTGCTGTTTAAACAACAGGAGGTATCTCCTCTGCAGAGACTTCTCATCCAAAACTCACGGGTTCAGGTAGGTGCCCCTCGGAGAAAGGGGGAGCTTCTATGCTAAAAGGGACGTGGTAGTGTGGAGGAGGAACAGGCTCAGCTGGTTGGTCGATGCATCCTTGGAATTTCTTGCACTGGCAGATCCATGCCCTGCGTTCCAGCTGGTAGCGATTGTGCAAGAACACAACATTCGCTTCTCCTGTGTCACGTATAATTCTTGTACGACGTATCTCCCAGTTGTACATCCTTTATGTGAGATGTTCATCTTTCGTACTACAATATGGTATACGTGGGAAAACGTCATGCTCAGCTCTAACGCTCCTCCGTCGTACATCTTTCATTTCGCCACGTTGTACAGCTGTCCCAGTGCTCACCCCCAGACCTGCCCCACTCCTAATTCCAATGTAGGAAATGTATCAACAGAAGAAGAGTTATGACTGTAGAACTGAAACTGACCCATGTGGACACGTGACCCAAATATGCACACCAGCTTCATGTGCATGAATATGCAGAGAGCTGTAGCTCACAGAAGGGTCTGCCTTTTAATAAAATGTGTTAGTTGGAAAAGATGGAACCAGACTCCTCCTGACTTTTTGTCACCGTAGACTAACCCAGCTTTCCTCCTACAAGAACTCCGTTCTAGTACATCTGAAGAGTATCCTTGTCTACTCCAGTGTTTTTCAACCTTGGCAACTTTAAGACATGTGGACTACAACCCCCAGAATTCTGGGAGTTGAAGTCCACCCATCTTCAAGTTGCCCAGTTTGAAGAGCGCTGGTCTCTCCAGCGAAATGGGATCAGTCACTGACTTTTCCACTTCTCTGCCAGAACGCCCCTGGACCTCAGTCCCCCACCTTTCTCAATGCAATGATGAGGATTCAGCCCCAGATCCTGCACTGCTGGCGGCCGATGAGGCGGACGTTTAAGTTCTACGATGAAAACGGGACTGGGCTTCTCAGCATCCAAGATTTCCGGCAGGTAATTTGTTTACTGCTAAAGCTTCCTCTGAGCAGAGCTGATGGTTTCGTGGACACATCCACTCAATTTCCGTGGGAACCATACGGGGTCAGTGGCGCTCATCTTCTTCTGCGGCTGTTTTACCCAGTCTAGCCTACAGCCCCGGGACTCCCTGGTGGTCTCCCATCCATTCAGGCCCAGACAAGGTGAGCCAGCTGGTGTCACCTGCTGAGACGAAATCCAAATTTTAACACCTTCCGTTGGGTTTACGCTTTAGCCCCAGACGGATCTGGGCATTCAAGGAAGCCACCCTTGCAGTAGGAACCTTCCTGCACACATTAGTTGTAAAATGTGGCTTTGGCAGTTTTGGGTCTGTAAAGGCGTCTTTCCATAGGAAGCTTTTCAATGCTTTTCCTCTCAGAGAGAGGTTTTGGGGGGGGCACGTGAAATTATGTTTTATGCAATCTGTATGAGGGCACTAACATCTCATAGTTGTCTTGATATTTAAGTGCTTGCTCTGATTGGTCTCTTGGTTTAATTGGTGGCCTTAATTAGATTTTTAAAGACTATTATTTACTTTGTTATAACTTTGTTATGCTAACCCCGCGAGGGATATTGGGACCAGTTTATGGTGTAAATATATAAAGACAAAGGCTCCCTCAAGTCAGGTTCAGCTCCTAACAATTACACGGTGGCGTCCTTGTGCATTTTCTTGGCAAGAATATGGAGGCAGTTTCCCGTTGTCCTTCCTAATATGAAGAGATTGAGATTATTACAAAAGAAAAGCATAAAAACTGACTCAGCCAGAAGTAACCTTACCCAAGCCCCCTTCGTTTGCAGCTGTCTTCTTCAGTAACTGTTGGTCATCCTCTACAGCTCTTATTTTATTTATTTTTGACTTGGCCTGTATCTTCTGCTAAGGACAGATGGTCCTTTATGAACCCGTGTAGGGTGTCCTAACGCCTACCTGAACCCATGTAGGGGTGCTAATAACGCCAACATTTCTCTCTCTTACTCAATAAATATTGTAAGACTCTTTTACATTTGTGGAATTTAAAGAAAATAAAGAGAGAGAAGGGATCGCTTAATTTCTGCACCTCATATTTGCATCTTTAATCATGGTGAAGGTTGGCCTCCCTGAGCAACTGGAAGGGGTTTTGGTGTTTGTGCAAAAGCCTTCTCAGCTTCTTTCTGCCTCATTTGTGGGTTCATTCCTCTTCATGCATATTCCACAGCAAAATGTTAAAAAGAGCCCAGTATTAAACTGGACCTTATTATTTAAATACTATTTTAAGCAAGAAATGTGCCTATCTTAATAGGGCCTTACAGAGTCTTCCTTCGTAGAGTGATAGGGTGAGGCTGGACTTGGGATTCCAGGATGACAATGATGGTTTGTGGTGTTTGGGACACCCACCTTGGAAAAGGTGACTGTGGCTGGCAACCACTCTCTTAGCCATGTTTTCGTTTAAGGAAACTCTCATTCCAAGGAAAGCCCATTTTAGCCTGTGGTTGAGACATGGGCTATCAGTGCTGACCCAACTGTGATACCCTGTGTTGGCCTAATCCCCGAATTAACCAGTGTTTTGACGATCTCAGATCAGAACAGCAACCCTCGAGCCAAGCTGTCGCTGGGGAGGAGATAACACCAGATATTCTGAAGGTTTGAGACGAATGAGGCAGTCGCGCTTCAGCAAATGTGGTTCCACGTTGGTTCTCTGTCACAAACTTTCTTGGATGGTAAATAATTAAAGACTGGATCTGTGTCATGTTCCTCTGTGTTCTGCAGGTGCTACGAAAATACGGCATCAACCTCTCGGAAGAGGAGTTTTTTCACATCTTGGAATATTATGACAAAACCCTAACTTCCAAAATCTCCTACAACGAATTCCTCAGAGCATTCCTGCAATAAGAAATAAAAAAGGGGCGGAGAGGAATCACCCTTCAACGTGAAGAATCTTTAGGCGAGATTATTACTTTTAAAGCTAATAAAACCATACAAATTCAGCCTCTTGGTTAACAGTTCATCAGCAATCTTATAAAGCTGATAGAATGGAAACTAGAAGTGTCTGGTGAAGTCATTCTTAGTAGGTTGGGGCTATTAATTTTCTCAAAATCCACTTAGCTGTGAAAACTGGAAACAATTACAGGGACAGTTCCAAGAGTCTTAATTGGCGTCTCAGAATGCAATAACATTATATATATTTTTTCAATTAAAGGATTATTAAGACCAGGAACTCTTAATTTAGGTTTTAAAAGGCATCCTACTCAATTTTATTTGCTTCGGTTTTCTAAATGGATTATATTTAATACGTTATTCTCCATGGTTCGGAAACTGGATACCTCAAATCCAGCAAAGGTGGTCGCTGTGCATAAGCCTGTGGAAATGATCTCTGTGTAAATTTTGATCCCTGTTTTGATGTGCCGAGTCTGTTAAAAGTGGGCCTGGCGTAATTAAAAAGCCCCTCGGTATCCAAACGCCTTTTCCAGAGCTGGAACAGCACATTCCCTTGGGGGATGCCAGTCTGAGTCTCCGCGTCACATCGGCCTGAAATAATGTACAGGAAATTGGTGGCCCTCCGCACCTTTTCCTCCACCTTCTGCTTTTCTCCCGTCCTGCCTGATCGTGCTCCACCAAAGAGGTCCACAGGGGATCGTCAAAAAAGTCAAGCGTGTGGCCATGGCGGTGCAGTCAAAGCGTTTTCAATGTGTGGGTGAGCATCAAAGCCAGGCGGAGGTTCGATCGCACCGTCACGGCTGCCGTCTTGACTTTTTTGGCCATTCTCTATGGGCACCCCTGCCACTGGCCATTTTCCACCATGTGGCAAATGCAGGAATTAAACCACAGCTTGTGTGGGTGGGGGGCGAGGGGGCATTGAACAATCCTCTTGCATATTCCCAGAATAAGACCCCCAGTCTCCAGGCTGAGCAAGCCCTTTGACCTGGGTCAGAAGGGCCTGCGAACGAGCCCTTGGGCCAACTGACCCTTGGTCACCCCAGGGCCAACCCTCAGAAGCGTTCCCCCTGAGAACGACACCTTTTACGTTACCTTTCCATTTATAAAGATGATCACATGGCATTAACCGCCTTCCTCTCCTTTTATTCAATGGTTTGTTCACTAGATTTACAGCCCCCCTTTTCTCCAGAGTTCAGGGTGGGGCCCGTGGTGGTCTCCGTTTCAGTTTTCCAGCACCAACCCCCCTGCAGGGTAGGCTGGGCTGGGAGATGGCGACTGCCCTTAAATCTGGCTCTGCCTGGTCCTGGCCCAGTAACTTCACCTTTGTACTACCCTGGGAATTTTGGAATATGGAGACCCATAATGCTGTAGCCAGACATATTTTCCTGCCTTTGTGGATTTAGGGATCAGCATGGAGATCTCACACTCCTTCACGTGGCCCTTGGCGTCTTCCTGCTTGTCAGTCCTGAGCTAGTGTTGCAGGACCAGAATAAGAAACCAGAGTGGGCTGCTGGCGTTCCCCGCTTTTGACATAATCAGGGATTCTTAAGGCATGAAACCCCAGACCAAGCCTGTGAAGAGTTTGGACAGAGGATGGAGCCACGGGCCACGGCTAGATTTCTGCATTCCTTGCAAAGCTGTGAAGACACCTCCCCATGCCAACAGTGTAATGATGCAGAGTGATAGGAGCGGCATACGAGGCTACGGATTACGAGATGTGAGTCCCTAGTATTGCTATTCTTCATTTAGCCCATTAAAGCTCTCTGCCTTGGGGGGCATGGATGTTATTGGGAGATCCAAGGAATCAGGATGGGAACTGCAACTGTGCAAGTGAAGCCTCACCCCTTTTATACATTCGACAGATGCACCTAAAAAGGGATGGATTAGACAGTCATGGCTGCCATCTTGGACTTTTTTGACCTCTTTGCGACATACACGACCCCAACGGCCTCCATTTTTCAGACCCGAGTCAAGCATCTTTGCAAAAAGCTCTGACCTAAGTCTGTCTGCATTCAGAGATGACACCTTGGAACTGTGAACAATTACCTGACGACTGTCCTGATATTACTTGATAAATTTGTCTGAAAGTATTTTTTCACAAGTTTCTGAAATCATTGCTTGTCTTTAAAAAAAAATCTGAATTTGGAACATTCAGATCAACCAGATATACTGTTTTCCTACAACCACAGTAGTCAGAGGTGCCTCCGTGCTTCCATCACAGGCATTTCGTGTTCATGGACGTGACAAAGAGTCAGGCACTGTGAGCTCCCCTATGGCTCCGCTTTGTCATCTTAGCATGCAGACAGACTTCGATTTCAAAAGTGTGACTGCACTTAACCCGCTCCTAATTTCTGCTTGTAATTTGTTCAAACTCATCAAATTTACCAGGAACACGTTTTTCACCCGTGCAGTGATTTTAAGCTGTTAACACGGCAGCCACTGCCGGAGAGAAAAGTGCAAGGTGTACACACAGAATGGTACATGGGGCATTGTGGCCAGTCTAGTGTGCCACTAGAGCACTTTCAAGGCAAGACGTTCCCCAGCGGGACTCGGAAAACCGTATCATCCTCTGCAGAAGTAGAAAAGACAAATGCTAGAAGTTGCAGATCAGAGTAAGTCGGCTTGTGTAGGTAATTAGAATTCCGAACGTTAATAAAAGCTTTTAAAATCCTTGTAACCTTTTATATTTAATCCCCACTTGAAAACAGCTCTCGAGTTATTTCTGCTCCTTGAATTTCTAGCGTTCTTTGGTCTCTGCAAAATGCTGCACTTTAAGTACAGGACGCTTGTTCCAGGTTCTGGGATTAAATAAGACCAATAATATAATTAGCATTCCAATCTTGGTGCTTTATTTTTTACTTTTTTTTTTTTTTTTTTTT